TCTTGTGCACTTGCAGTTTTTCTGTTTTGGCTTGTAAACCTGCCATTGAAAATGGCGAATGATGATTCTACATCATTTGGGGTTACATCAACCCGTGGTACAACAGGTATGGGGACTGAAAGCATGACGTTTCCTGTGCTGATCACTCCTTTAAATGGTCTGAACTATCTGGAGTGGGCCAAAGGTGTAAAACTTTATGTAACAACAAGGGGAAAAGCTGGTTACATAAATGGAAGGGTGAAAGAACCCAACAGTGGAACGGCTGGAGATGATCAGTGCGACCAAGAAAATAATATGGTTATGCCCCGACTTCTTTTAGACATGGAATCTGATGTGAAAAAGAATTTTATGTGGGTAGATACTACAAATGAGATATGAGAACATGCCAAAACCACCTATTCAAAGCAAAGGCACTTTACTAAGATCTACCAGTTATAAGTTGAATCATCAACTTGTAAACAGGGAAACCGCAATTTATTAGCCTATTATTCAGCTCTTACCTCAGTGTGGAAGGAATTGGACCACTATCAGGCTATATAATGGAAACATGAGGATGATGCTAGAGCCTATAAGAGGTTGGTTTCTCAGCAGCGGGTTTTTGCCTTCTTGTTGGGACTAAACCTCATATATGAACCCTTAAGAGTTCAAATTTTAGGAAGTAAAGAGTTGCCCTCAGTCTAAGAGGTGTATGCCCTTGTTTAGTATGAGGAAAGTAGGCGGAGTGTGATGGTTACAACTGAGGGGAAGCAATAGGTAGCATTAGTTGCAATGGGTGGAAATAATATGGGAAAGAAAAATGATTCTAGGAAAGCCGATGATAAGGATAAGTTGTTTTGCACTCACTGCCGTCGTTCAAGACATATGCGTGACACATGTTGGGAGCTCCATGGGAGACCAAAGTGGGCTGTAAAGAACCAAGAACAGGGTAAGGTACAGAGTCAGAAGAAGCCTAATACAACACACAACGCAGCAAATGTGGTAACCTAAGAAACTCAGTTTGTTGTGGTGCCAACTGATACTACTCAAAAACACTTCATTGGTTCTGACCCCAAGGAAGACATTATGAACTCCTTCCGTAGTCACTTAGAATCATATGGTAAGGCCTTGCGCCAAATGGACAAATCAGCTGCTGGTAACCCTTCTACTTCATTTGCGTCTACATCAGGTAATGCAGCTTCTACCTTCCATGTCTCCACAGCCACAGATTCCCCCTAGGTCATTGACTTAGGGGCTTTTAATCACATGATCGGTAAGCCAAACCTATTCAGTTCTTATAACTTTTTGTCAAGAAGGGATAAAGTGAGACTTGCAGATGGCTCTTTTTCTTCCATTGCAGGTTAGGGATCAATATCCCTTCCTTAAGGACTTAACCTGAGTAATGTTTTGCATGTCCCTTAGTTACCTATTTACCTTCTTTCGATTAGTAGTATCACAAATTCATTAAACTGTTGTGTAACCTTTTTTCATGATTCATGTATTTTTTAGGACCTAACTTGTGGGAGGACGATTGGTAGAGGAAGATCAGTGGATGGTCTCTACATTCTCGACAATAAGAGTAGTTTCTCGATGTCATATTCAGAGTCTCCTAGTCGGTTAAATAAGGGTCAAATTGTTTTGTGGTATAATTGGTTAGGACATGTGTCTTTTGAAATAATAAAGTCTTTGGTTAATGGCCTCTAGCGTCAAATGGGTTATTTTTTTATCTTTTCGGTTTTCCACGATAAAAGACCAACCAAAAACCCCTAGACGTGGGAGTATCTTTTCCATATGTTTATTGCTTAAGCCTTTAAGGCCACCATTTAAACATTTTATTGGTATAAATAATGGTGATTGGTGTCAAATGGGTAGGTTTTGGTGTTTCGTGCAATCAAAACCAATTAACTTCTAACCTTGCATGCAAGGTTCAAAATTTCGCAACGTATTAACCCGTATCGGTTAATACATATTGTATCTTTAAGAGGTTGTCACGGGAAACACTACAAAATAATTTGTATCGTATCTTTTTATCATGTCGATATCGTATTGTGACTGTATCGGGGTGTATTGGGGGCGTATCAGACTTGTATTGGGGTGTATCAAGATTGTATCGTAGTCGTATCGGGGTGTATCAACCAATGTAGTATGATTTCTTGTAGGCAAAAATCGAATTAAATTTTTTTGAGAAAAAAAAACATGCTTCTAACTCTCGCAAATGCCTTCTTTCTCTTCCAAACTCACCAAATCATCCCTACACATTGTTGGATTGTAAAATCTTTAAAAAAAATCCAAAAGCAACCTCCAAAACTCAAGATTTTGACTTTTTTTTCAACTTTTTACAAAAATTTCAAAAATAAATATATATATTTTTTCAATTTATTCAATAGTATGTTACAATATTTTGTGTTTTTCTAATGCTTGGTAATATATTATTTATTTATTTATTTATTTATTTATATTCTCTCCTTGTGTTGAAAATCCTATATTTTTTGTGCTTTAATTAGATCTATTTATGTTTTGAAGAAAATTTAGAATAAATAAAAAAATAACAAAAAAAAAAATTTATATTTTTGGTGTAATGTGCCCATGAAGAATAATTTTGTCATAGATCTATGGATGATCTACCAATTTCATAGATCTATTGAAATTTCTAAAATATTCATTTTTTATTTTTTGAATAAAAATATTTATTTTTTTAACTTTTTGTAAGTTTAAAATAAAATTTTCCAATTTTTATTTGGTAGATCTATTGAAATTTATTGTAAAATATTTATTTTTATTTTTTGTAATATTTATCTTTTTTTCTAATTTTACCTTAATATTTACCATGTTGTAAATCTATGGATGATCTACCACATCCATAAAATTATTTTTTTGTTACATTTTATTTTCTTAGTTTTTGTTATAATTTTTGTAATAAAAAATAAAATAATTATTTGAATAAGAAATAAATAGTTATTTAGAAAATATAGAATATGTTTCATTAAATAATTATTAAGCTTATATTTTGTAGTTATAAGTTATAACCTTATTAGAGAATACCCTTATGTTTCCCTTATGTTTTCATATGTTGATTACAATATATTGTTTTTCATAAAAATCACTAAAGGATGTGATATTTATGTATATATATAGCTCATTTAGGCCCTATATTTAATGTTATTGATGTATATTTCTAATTTACTGGAGTACCTATAGTGTTTTTATGCGTTTCCGTGCATATCTTAATTTTTCGTCTATATCCATGCCTATCCAATGTGTATCAATATGTCTCTTAAATTTGTATTTTCAATACACTTGGCGTTTCCGATACTTTGAACCTTGTTTGCATGTTTCGCTATAGTGGTAGCACAAAATGGGTCATGACGATTATTGTTTTCGATCGGTCTCTAAATATTCTAACCCATATTCATTTTTTCTTCCATGTATTCTTCTAGATTTTGGGTTTTTATTAAATAATAATAATTACATTGATAATTACACTAACAAGTATTTCAGTTTTATTAAATAATAATAAGTACAATAATAAATAATAATAATTGTAGTATTAAATAATAATTATACTAATGATAATAACAATTATTATTATTTCATATTTATTTTTTGACTATTATTTTTTGGTTTTTAACAATTAATTAGTGTAAAATATAAAAAAATTATTGTAATTCATTGCTATTTAATATTTATTAAATTAATACAAGTTTGTACTTAAAAATAAAGTTAATACAAATTAATACATGTATATTAATAAAGCAACAAAAAAGTAATAAAAGTTTAGTTTCAAAATTAAATCTTATAAGTTGATATCCATTTAAACTTCATTTTAAAAATAAATGATACTACATATTTGTTGATAAAATTCAAAAGATAACAAAATTATTAGTTTTAAACTTATTATTATTAGTTTAAAATACCCTAATCCATTCCAAAATTTCAAAACATTACTACTAAATAAAAATGTTGTAAAGTTAATATAATTTAATAAAAAATAAAAACTAATACTATTAGGAATGTCACAATGCTCATTCTTGGGGTATAACTTGGGTGGATTGGGCTGGGTTGAGGGTTAACCCAAGCCCAACACTAACTATCAAATCTCGACCTAAGGCTTAAGCCCAAATTTACCAACCTAGGCACAACTCGAGTTTAACCCAACATCTTGGGTTGGGCTTGGGCATGTTAAGCTTCGTAGCCCAATTTCTAGGTATAATAAATTGATAATTATATCATAAAATGTTGGGCATGCTTAGGTTGGGTCAAATTGGGCTTGGCCTACTCAAGGCCTCAATGCAAGCCTGAGTTTTCTTAGCTCAAGCCCTTCTTTTTTGAAAACTCAAGTCCAACTTATACAAAAATTTTGATTGAGCCAGATCTAATTCGGATTTGCCCACACAAGTTGCACTCCAACTCCTTTTGCCTCAAATTCGTTTAACAAACATCATGCATCGCACGAGTCCCCTAGTTATGATTTTAAATGGATTGGAAGGAATTGAATCCCAATCCAATGAGATTATTAATCCACTTACATAAATACATCATTCAAATCCAAAATAATGGGATTGAATATTAGGTTGTGTTTGGTTGTAGTGCAATTTTATTTGCACTAGTACAAATGCAAAGGAGTGCGAATAAAAAAATGCAAATCACGTTTAATTTTGTTTTAAATTTCAACTTTAATTTATTCTGCTCCATGCCTTAATTTACTTCATTTGTATTGCAATCAAACAAAATAATCTTAAATTTAAAATAAAACTAGGTCAGAATTTTAAATTTACACTCAAATAATTTGCACTGCCATAGTTTTACATCAATGCAAATTTATTTGCAATAATTTACATTGCAACCAAACACAGCCACAAGGTTGGGCCGGTATCGGCCTAATTGTCAAGCACATAAACGAATCATTTCAACAAAAAAAAAAATGCATGCAGTACACATCATTACTGTTTAAATCAAAGTTTGACTTTTCTAATAAAAAACAGCAATTGCATCGGTCAACCCACAACATTTCTGAATTCTGACTACGTAACATACTAACATGAACAGCCTTGGTACCAATTACCAAAGAATAGTCCAACAAAAGTTATACACTCTCATTCGCTCGTTCGCATGTTATATCGAATATCATAGAATAGAAATAAATAGAGATGAACATCATCGCCTCACGGCCCTTTCTTTGCCAATCTTTCTTTCCCTCTTCACCCCCTCTTTCTAGCAAACGTACACTACTCGTAGGGCTTCGCTATGTCTGCATTCTCTGCCTTACTCCAGAATTCTCGTCGTCGGCTTCTCTACAACTTATTCTCTCGTCATTGCTCGAGATGCATTTCGACTCCATCCTCTTCTTCATTGGAGATAAATGTAGACCTCTCTCATCCTACTTACATGGTCTGGGGTTCAAACACAGGTGTTGGAAAAACCCTAGTTTCAACAGGCCTCGCTGCTTCTGTTCTCTCTTCTGCTGCTTCTTCAAACCCTGCCAAATTCTTCTACATCAAGCCTGTTCAGACAGGGTTCCCTGCAGACTCTGACTCTCGCTTTGTTTACCGCAAATTTTCGGAGATTTTTCTCCGTAGGCGGGGTCAGGCTAGTTCTGTTGCTTCGAATCATGCACTTAAAGCTTCTGCCTTGGCTGCGAAGGAGCTTTTGGGTGCTGGAAGTGAAGATGAGAAGTTGGAACGGAGTGAGGATGGGCTGAAGAATTTGTGTTGGTACGAGGAGATGAGAATGCGGGGGGAGGAGACTCAAGTTGTGGGGTCAGAGTTGGTCTGTAAGACAATTTATGGATGGAAGGAGGCGATTTCGCCACATCTTGCTGCGGAAAGAGAAGGAACAGTTATACAAGATTTGAATTTGTTGGAGTCGTTGCAGAGGTGTATGTGGCTAGGTGTGGATGATGGAAGTAATGGTCGAAAGGAAGGAATTTGGAGCTTGATTGAGACGGCAGGGGGTGTGGCGAGTCCAGGGCCTTCCGGTACTCTACAGTGTGACTTGTATAGGTATCTTCTGTTTTGTTATCTTCCCGTTTTTGACAAAGCAACTTACATTGGATGGATTGATGATTCACATGAAGCAGGGCCAAAGACACAGTTACGAGTTAGAATGTACTGATATTAGTGCTTTGTTTCTATACTGTTTTAAGAAATTCAGATAAGAATCCTGATCCTTGTTATTAATTATGAACGACTGAGTAAAATAAAAAGTAAAAATAAACACACATGCATACACACACGGAAGCTTTTTTAGCAGCAAAAAAAAAAAAAAAAACATACACCCACGGAAGAAATATTGAAATGAAAATTATTTAAAAATTGTTAATGTTAGTTGCAGTTGGGTGAAGTTTAATCGCTAGTGGATAACTACTCATAAATAGCTGATGGTTAGTGGCGGTGTGATTCAAGGTGTTCGTTCTTCCCTCTCGCCTTCTGCAAGTTTTCCTCTCGCGTAGAGTGAGGTTTCCTCCCGCTTCGTGCAAGGTTTCCTTCTTCCCCCTCTGCACCCCATATCTCTCCCACTCTTGTTCTATCTTGCTTTGCTTCCTTGTGTATCGTATTTCATTGTGTTCTGCTGTTGGGTTGTTGATGGAGGTGTTGGGTGTCTGTTCTCCTTTCTTCAGATACCTCTTTGGAAGCATTAAAGTGGAGTCTATACTAGTGATATTATTTATTTTAGTGTTCAGGTGGATAGTGTTTCTGGTGAGATTGGCATTGGTGATGTTGAATTTTCCATTGTTCCTCAGTCCGTTGTTCCATTTTCCAGTGATCCTTGTCATGGCACTTCGGTTACAAATGGGAGTCATACTAGAGCAATGTTATATGCAATCTACGCCCAACTAATTATCGCTTCTGGTGTGAAGAAATGGACATCTATGGCTTCGGATATTGGCGTTGGAGTTTATTATGGTGAGTTTTTTCCCATCTTCTATATTGTTTGAATATTTCCGGCAATCTTGGAGCCAGGTCTCTCTCCAGCGGCAAAGTTCATTTGGGTCATTGTGTGGTTTGTATTCAACAAAGATCTGAAGGGGTGTGATGGAGGGCGCATTTTTCACCATTATCTTAGACAGTTTAAATGATGTGGCAATTCTGGCTATTATAGTTGTGATGCTTATGGAATTTTGTAGGGTTAAAAGGGAAGTGATGGTTTTGGTTGCTTTATTCAAATCTCTTTATGACATACTGGGCTGGCATGGCGTTCTCTTTGGCAAGCACCATTTCAAGACTGCCTTCAATATTGTTATCCTAAGATGAGGCCTCAGCACTTCTCTTTTCTCCACTTAAACCTGGATATTGGAAGTTTTATTGCCTAGGATGGGGGTTATCTTGGCAATTAATTTTTCACTTAAACCCCGCTTGTTATGGTGTAAGTGATGGCATCTTGGGTTTCTTTGGTGTGGGAGTTTGCTGTCAGATTATTCTCTGTTGGAGTTAGTTTGTCCTCCTTTTTGGCATTCTAAATCTGTTCATGCTGTTTGCAGAGATCTTGCAACTATCCTCCCTAGGTATTTGGTTTCACTTGTGCTTTTGATCAACAGTTTAGTCCATCTCTAGTTGCATGTTCGCATCTAATTTTCTGTTTTTCTTTGACTGATTTTGCTGATGGTTGTCTTTGTTGTAATCTGAACACTTTTCAATTAAGTTTTGCCTTTTTGGCGAAAAAAAAAATAAGGCGTCAGTTTTGGCTTTTGGTGCATAGTGCCAGCTTATGGACTGCATACTTGAAGGTGGATGGAAGTAAACTAGTTAGTAACCCAAACCATTCTTAGCTTTTCTATTACTCAAAAAGTTTGCAAATAAGGATTTTAGGGTCCAGTAACTAGGCCCTATTTTTGTGCAGATTTCCAATTCAATATCTGCTGGAGGGTCAAGGACTTTTAGCTTTGTTCTTCTATAGTTTTYTTGATAACAGTTGAAGTGGCTGAACTGAATGATTCATTGTTCTGTCTTTTAGATGAATTAGTTATTAAGTTAAGAGGATTGTGAACTCCTTAATAGTTGAGGCTAAAATTGGGTTGACTACTATACCACTGAATATTTTATTATTTAATTATCTTATCCAATAAAAGACAAAGAAATAAGTTAGGCCACTTCATCTGTCACCAAATTGGCCCCTAAATTGGTTTTAGCTAGGTGTTTCTTGACATTTGGAATTCTGTAATATTAGGTGAACCAGTATCTGCTCTTATATGGTTTTCTGAATCAGTTGTGGCATTAATTATATACTCTGTGTAGAGATACAGTTAATTAGTTTGTGGTCCCACTACTTGTTGCTTATTTGTTGCTGTTTTATTATTATTTGTTTTGCTTCTCTCTTTYATATAGGCRGCATGGGTTTTCCTGTCTTTGTACCTATTCTATTTGATTAATATAAATAGTAATTCATTGGGGCGGCAGGACCATTATAATCTGCACCCCTTTTACTTTCATTCTYTCTGTCTTTYCAYTTATGCTTCTTCTTCTCCCTTGGTCTCTCTCTCTCTCTCTYTGTTCTCTTTTTCTGCTGTTTTTCTTACAAAACACARGTCTGATTACCATTGGTTACAGYCAACTTGGTATMARAGCAGGTTTGGGATTGATTTGGATTCTCATGTGGACTTGATCCAGCCAGCTACATGAGAATTCTCTAGGGCTGTAGTTTAMATCTTCCATTGCCTGATTCTTGGAGGTCAGTGGAGATTATAGGAGGTGCCCAGGGTGTGAGATCTTGGAGATGTCCTGTGGCCAGGAAGAGTCATAGAAAATAGGTCAGTTTGAGATTTAGGGTTTAAACCTTTGATTGAAAGTGGCACTCAGTTTTTCTGGGTAGATTTCACATTGTTGTTGAAACCGACAGTTATTAGAAGTGTTTTTAGAATCCTCTAGAGAGAGTGGTTATGATTTTTAGGCTTTCTCTAGGGCTGATTCTAGGTTTTCTCTGGGAGTTCTTCTCTTGGACTGTTTTTGTGGACCTTCTCTTGTTTGGGAATTGGGAGTTGCTGGGCWGCCCTTGGAGGGGCTAGTTTGTGTGAAAAGGAGTGGAATTGTGCTCTCTTGGTTTTTCGAACTACTTGCACTTTTAAAACACTGAGGTGAACAATCTTAAACAGGGGAGAAACTTATATTAGTTTACTTCTCCACCTTGAAATCATTATGGCGTGAGGTTGATCCAAATTGGATTTGGTCCTCACAAAACCATCCTCACATCGTCCTAACAGCCCCTTGTAGCCGTGCATTGGGATATCTCTCCATGAATAAAAACATATAAGGACTAATGTGATTAGGGAAGTGGAAAAGATTGCAAAGGAGGTTGATGCTGAATTTAAATGGGTCTGAAGAAGTGCAAATGGGCTAGCTGATGTTTTAGCAAAACAGGGGGCATTGAGACAACAACTATTTTGGGCTGCACTGTAATGAGTGATAGAATAGAGTGATTAAAGGGATCAATAATCCCATCACCAAGTTGTATAAACTGTTCACAATCTGAAATTTAATAAACATGTTTATTGATAAAAGAAAAATATACAAGGACTAAGAGGTTCCCAATGCACGGTTGGAAATGGTTGTGAGGTAGGTCCAAGGATGATTTTGTGAGGACCAAATCCGAACTCAAGGTCGATCACTTGGAGACAATTCAGTGGGAGAGCCAAAAGGATGCAACAATATGTAGGAAGCTTGTTGAGATAGATAGGGTGTTTGAATTCCTGGCTGAATTGAATTCAAACTATGACATTGTGAGACAACAATTCCTTACAGAGGTAGCGTCACCTTATTTCATGCCTACTCAGTAGTATACAATGAGGAAAGTAGGAGGAAGGTAGGAGGAAGGTTATGTTGCAAATTCCACCTTTGGAATCAGCTTTAGCAGTTGTAAAGCCAAAGTTTGGAGGTGATAAAGAGAAGAAGAAGAAGGAAGAAAAGAAGGAGGTGTTTTGTGACTACTGTAAGAAGCCAAAACATACTAGGGACACTTGTTGGAAACTTCATCCTCATCTTATTCCGACAAGGATCAAGAATAAGAAAGGGAATGCCAATGTAGTTGCTAATACAAAGTTTCCAACAATGCCTTGGTTGTAGTCAGATCTGCTTTGAATCATCTAGAGAGTGATGTTGGCTTTACTAGACAGTCTTAAATGGCTATTTTACCTTGTACTTCTACCTTAGCATCTTCAACATTTGCACTCTCAGGTACAAGGACTATTGCCTATTATGCCTCAACTCTAGGTGACACTATCCGTTTTTGGACTGTAGATTTGGGTTCCTGTAATCATATGACCAATTTGCCTTTTTTTTATTCACCTCTTATTACTTGTCCTCTGGTAGAGGCGAAGTATCCATTATTGATGGTTCTCTTGTTCCTATTTCTGGCAAGGGAAGCATCAAAGTGTTTGATGCCATCTTTTTTGTCCACAATACTACATGTTCCTAAGCTCATTACTAATATACTTTTAGTTAGTAGTACTAGTATAAATTAGAATTGCTCAATGGCATTTTTTCTTGATCATTGTGTCTTCCAAGATCTAGTGACAAGGAAGGTGATTGGAATTGGCTATGAGATGAATGGAACCTAGTTGAGCATACACCTCAACAAAATGGAATAGCTGAGAGAAAGAATAGACACATCTTGGAAGTTGCTAAGAGCATCATGGTGAATTCTTATGTTTGTATATGTTTCTAGGGGGGTGGTATCCACACGACGATCTATCTCATCAATAGGGTTCCTTCACAAGTTTTGGATATGAAACTATGAAAGCTCCTTTTAACTTGTTATATCTAGAAAAGGACTTGTTCACTATTCCCCTTAAGACATTTGGGTGCATTTGCTTTGTTCAAATCCTTAGACCTCATTGTTCTAAATTTGATCCTAAGGAAACCAAGTGTATTTTTCTTGGGTATGTACAAAATCGAAAGGGGTATTGTTGTTATGATCTAGTTTTTGGGACTCGTTTTGTGTCTATGGATGTTACATTCTTTAAAGATGTCCCTTGTTATCCTAGGGCTTAAGCTAAGGGGGAGAGTGGTAA